TGCCCACGGAGATGCCCAAGGAGATGCCCAAGGAGATGCCCAAGGAGATGCCCACGGAGATGCTCACATCCCAAGGAAACCGGAGGCCACATCCCACGGAAACCAAGGGCCACGTCCCAAGGAAACTGGGGAATGGGCTCTCCTTTGAAGCTCAACCGGAGTGGTAGACGCTGGAGACTCCACACCAGGAGAGCGGTAGCAGGCGGGGGCTGGCGGCGATGTGGGGCAGGGTGCCCCTCTGTCCAGGCCACACGTGCAGAGGAGGCGGCTGCTTGCCCGTTTGGGGGTTCCCAGCCCTCCCCTGGGCCCCCTAAAAGCTTGAGGGTGCCAGGGTGCCCCTCTGTCCAGGCCACACGTGCAGAGGAGGCGGCTGCTTGCCCGTTTGGGGGTTCCCAGCCCTCCCCTGGGCCCCCTAAAAGCTTGAGGGTGCATGGTGGGATGCCCTTGGAGCAGATCCTCCCTGCACCCAATGAAGGCAGAGGATCTTTCTCAATGGAGAGCCTCTCTTGACCAAATGAAGGTCTCTAGACCCAGTGAAGGCAGAGGATCTTCCTCCTTGGAGATCCTCCCTGCACCCAATGAAGGCAGAGGATCTTTCTCCTTGGAGATCCTCCTTGGACCCAGTGAAGGCAGAGGATCTTCCTCCCTGGAGATCCTCCCTGGACCCAATGAAGGCAGAGGATCTTCCTCCTTGGAGATCCTCCCTGCACCCAATGAAGGCAGAGGATCTTCCTCCTTGGAGATCCTCCCTGCACCCAATGAAGGCAGAGGATCTTCCTCCCTGGAGATCCTCCCTGGACCCAATGAAGGCAGAGGATCTTTCTCCATGGAGAGCCTCTCTTGACCAAATGAAGGTCTCTAGACCCAGTGAAGGCAGAGGATCTTCCTCCCTGGAGATCCTCCCTGGACCCAATGAAGGCAGAGGATCTTTCTCCATGGAGAGCCTCTCTTGACCAAATGAAGGTCTCTAGACCCAGTGAAGGCAGAGGATCTTCCTCCCTGGAGATCCTCCCTGCACCCAATGAAGGCAAGAAGGGTTTGGGGTGTTCGGGGTTGGGTGTATTTGGGACAACCCAGCCAGCCGTCGGCGTGGGAAGGGGGGGGCTTCAAAAGCATGGGGCGTTCTGGGGGGGACGACGACAACACAGCGGTGCGGACGGACACGTAGCCCCTTCCGTGGGTGGGCTACCTCCTCCCGGCAGGGGACTCACCATCACCACCACCACACACCATGAACCTGTGCAGGCTGCCGGGCTGGGTTGAGTTTCCCTGGGATGGGGGTGGTGGTGGTGGTGTTTATTTTGGACACCCCACCCAAGGTGACCCCCAAACCTCCGGTTTTCCGCACGGGAAGAGCTGGGATCCGCAGCTCCTCCAAGGAGAAGCAGAAGCCACCCGCCGGGTTTTGCACTAGTCTAGTTTTATTCACAATACAAACACAGCTCCTGCTCATCTTGGGAAGAGACGGACCAGGCAGCTGGCACGGCCGCGGGCCCGAAACAGCCGGGAAACCCCCGGATTTGGGTCCTGCTCCCATCCCTGAGGTTCACCCCAAGGGTTCACCTCTTTTCAGCTGGGAAATACCTGCGGGTGATGCTCCCCGTGATCTCCTGGGGGATTTCACCGATGGGTTCCCACCATGAGCTCCCTTTGCACGGTGGTTGACCAAGCAACCCAAGAGGAGCCGCGAGCATCCCCATGCCAGCTCAGGGACAACCCCTCCCTTGTCCCAGCTCCTGTCCCCAACGGCCTCCAGCTCACCCCCAACGCGTTGGGTTCCTCCAACCGCAGGTGGGCTCCCGCTGAATAAATACAATAAATACATTAAATAAACGGCTCACGCCGGGTCCGCGCCGAAGCATCGCCGGCTGCCAAACCGCGGCGCGTGGCTGGGAACTGCCGGGGCTGGACGCCTGGGCTTCGTTTCTTAACAACAAAGCCACAAAATCGGGATATTTTGCCCCAGGGTGGTGTCATTTGGTAGGGGGCATCATCACGCCCCAAGCGCGGCTGGGAGGGCTCAGGCTTTGGGTGTCGGTCAAGGCTGGCAGCATGGGGAAGGTGGGATGGTCAAGGGATGAAGGCACCCCAGATATTTTGGGGTCTCTCCGAGTTTTGGCCAGGAGCCGGTGGCATCTCCCGCA